GTAACTTCTGCGCCATACAGCGCTTGCACAACAGGACCCAGCAGCCTTGGGGCTGCAGAGGCACGGCGCAGATCTTACACCTCCAGGCTTGGGCTGAGTGGGAGATGCCACACTCACATGAATAAGCCGAGGTGAATTCTGTGCCGCTCTCTAAAACGTGGAGGATGTGGCCCCATTTCAGATAACACTGTGTTTTTCTGCACTCGATGACATAACACTGAAGTGTTGCCGATCTTGCTGCAGCCTTGCAAAACTTGGGTTGTTTTTATTTAATCTTAAAGCTCTGGTTCCTGGCGTGAGGCAGCTACGTGGCAGCCTGGTTTCATGGTAATAAATGGAGGACTCCTATTACGCAAACAAAAACTGGATGATCTGAAAGCTAAAAAGTTGAGGACAAATAAAAAGAGCTGACGGTTATTTTGATGGTTCCTGAACTTACCAGAAAAGAAGATATGTAATCTCAGTACAAACAAACTGTAATATAGATCTCGCCACTTTTCTGAGTGGGAAGAGCCCTATGGCATTGCCCTGTGCCATTGGGGTGTCCCCTGCACAGAGTCTCATTGCTCCTCCACGGGGCAGAAGGGGAAGAGGAGGGGAAGGACATTGCATGGGCTTTCTGCTGCACACTGGGCAAGTTCAGCCTGAACTCTGTGTTATTTCTGCTGAACACTGCGGGGAAGGAGGCTTGTTTCTGACTTGAGTGTGTACTGCAAGGAAACGTTTCCAAAAAGCAGCACAATTAGGGATTGGCTTTGCAAACATTCTTGGTGGCATTGAGAGGCAATTGGCACAAGGCAGTGAATAACCCTTTTACAAGCCTTTATGAACCCAGCACAATGCCTGTTTACAGTTTCGCTTATAGACCAGGAGTGTTAACAGGCCTTTAGAAAAATCCAGGTAATTGAAGCTTTTGTCTTTCAATGAGCCCCATAGCTGTCAACAGTTGCCATTCCCCTCATTTTCTTTAACCTTCTGTTTTGACAAGGGCTGCTGTCCCCCCGCAGCTGCACGGAGGTGGATGTGTTCCTGGGGGAGCACCGCCAGCCCCGCTGGGCCTCAGCCCTCTGCCACTTGACTCTTCAGACGTGCACAAAATCCTCTGGGTCAACCCCAAGTTTCTCTTTTGACTTCATTATTCCCTTACAGTCCCTGCCCGTCCTACACCACCCCAATGCAAGTCGCTCTTTGTTGACGTAGAGAGGGAGGTGGAGGCTGGGGAATACAGAGTGCAAAGATAAGTCAAGCTGTTGCCACAGAAACTGCACCGGCCCATTGCCATCTGCGGTGTTTTTACCCCCCCAGGGGGATGGGGTCAATGCGGTTCTGTTTTCCTCAGTGTCCCAGGCAGGTCTGGTTTTGCTGTCGCTGTTTTCTCAGTGCGGCACATGCTCAGCAGCCCGCGGGTTCCTGTTTCTGTGTGCCGATGTGGGAGCGCATTTCTCCAAATTAAAGAGAAGAAAGCCTAAATGAATGGTGAAGCTTGGACTTTTTCACCAAAGCAGCCTGTTTGTTCCCTGTAGGAGCCGGTGGGAGCTAATGGGAGTGGGCAGCCTTGTGCCCAGGGCTGTGGTCAGTTCTCCACTTTCCAGGACGCTGTACATTGAGCAGAAGTCCAAATCCTACAAATAGCTGTGCTCATTTCCCCCCCGTGTTTTCTCATCATGTGGACCACTTGGTAGCTTTGGTTCAGTTAAAGACTTCATTCTTACATGCATTAAGATGTGGTATGCTGGTGGTTTGGAAGCTGCACCAGAGGAATCTGCGTCTGCTCTGCGAGGGTGGGAGTGGGGAAGTCAGGCTGAGCACACTGCCAGAGGGCGGCAGTTTCAGGGGATGAAGGAGAAGTTGTGCAACTTGCTGTCAGAAGGACAGTTCCTAAAGCACACATCATGCATTCACAGCTGTGTGGCTGGGACCTGTGTCTGTGCAGAGTAATACTTGCATCCATGGGCCCCATTGGCTTCTTCAGATGCAGGACTGCAACGCTGCTGATAAAGCTAAGGAAGATGTAAGCTAAAATGAAACTAAATTCTTTGCTTTTTCATTTTAAAAACAATTAATTATGGAGCATTTTCCGATGCTGAATGAGGAAAAAATGTGTCCTCAGAGAGCAGATGTTTGCTTCCTTCGTATGTCTGTTTATAAAACTTAGCATGTGGATTTGATGGTTCACTTGCGTTTTACAACTTGTGCTTATCTACATGAGGCAAAGTTGCATATTGGTACAAAGCAAAATTAGGCATCTAAATAAGGCAGTTCTGCACCTTTTAGAAACACAAACCATCTGCAGTGGTTTTTTATATTCATTATAGATGTAAGAAGTTTGGAGGCCAAATCTGTTTTCAACAAGAATCTTCTCTTAAAAGCCAGAAAAAGCCTGTTCTCTTAATGTATTACAGCAGGAAAGGCAGAGACAGATTGTGGTACAGAAAGACAGAGACAACTGAAATCTTACAACCTGTTGGAATGGTAATGGTTACTGAGTTTCCCCCCAATTTTCTACATCTGCTCTCAAATATTTTAAACCTAGATTTATTACTGTTTGTAGTGCTGTTGCATTAGTAACCTGATTACCCACGTTTACGGCAATAGCATCCAAGTTCTAATGATCATTTTGAATGTTTTCTAGACATCATATTTCTGAATGTATGTGATCTTTTTTTTCATTTTAAGTCGCTGTACAAATTAAAATGTGAGTAGATAATGCCTATGCGTAAAATTTAAGCAACACGGACTTGGTTTTTAATTTCTATTCCATTTTTGCAATAAGAGTAAATCCACTGCAGTGTGCTTTAGACCAAAGTCTGCAAGAGTGAATCGTCATCGAAATCCGCTGCCTCTGTCAGCGTGCAGGTGGATCAAGTGCTTTGGGCAAGATACGAGCTGCGGTTACCTTAGCTGACAGTGGGTCCAGAGCCTAAAATAATACCATGTTTGTGATGCTCACGGCTGTGCTGGCAGCAGGGAATGCATGCAGCCCCCAGCAGCCGCGTGCTTCTGGCTGGGCTCAGCCCAGCTGGAGGAGAAAGGCTCCTGGGCAGCCGGCGTTTGTCAGTAACACAGTGCAACCCTGCAACTGCGTTTTCCTCCCCACCCTCTTGTTTTTGATGACTGTTGCTTTGTCAGCACAAATTAGCACCATCTTAGCAAACAGAAGTGCAGCGAGTAGTGGGGCAGCCTCTGCCCAGCAGGTCTGTCCCAGCACGGCTCAGGGCTGATGGACAGCCCGTGTCCTTCCAGGCCTGGCGCTCCTCGGAGCAGAGACCTCTCATTGTGGTCACACAGCGTGGGCTTGGGTGAGTGGCAAATGGCTGCCTCTGATGATTTATCAGGACTGATTGTACTTCCCTCTGAATGTCTGATCTGTGAAACTGCGTTTCCTATAGTAGTTTTTATAAAGCCCAGTGATGAAAATAAAAATCCATGAGAAAGCACAAGCAGATCACAGGAAAACACATGCTAAAGATGCGGCTCTCTGATCCTCTTGTCTGTGCACAAAGCAGTTGGGCAGGACTTAATGTAGTCTGCAGGCATTAGTGCTGCTTTCCCAAGGGACTTGGCCAGCACCGCCTGCAGCCCCACGGAGCAGCACCCTCCCATCCTGCCACTGCATCCCTCTCTGCTTTGGGCTCTTATTGTTCCAGAATGGCTCCATATGAGGTTAGAGCTGTGTGCCGTGCTCTAAACAGTTGGATTTCTCTGGAAACTGTGCTGCAGATCAGGAGGGGCGATGTGAAGCACAGTTTCATTTCAAAAGGAAGAGAGTTCTGCTTAGTCAAGACTGTAGAAAAACAGCTGCTTTAAACCAAGTGTTTCCTCTGAAGGTAAATGGAAATAAGGAGTAAATTGGAAAGCTGAGCAGTCCTCGCTGCAGAATCTCTGCGGGAGACCCCTCTGCTCTGTCACTGTCCTTCGTGTGCTTTTGTGTTTCAGAGAATTTAAGAGTAAAATGTTCCTCAAGTGTTTGAGGTCAATCATTCCGTGTGCCAAGCACAAGAAAAACAGATTAAATAGTCTCTAAGAAATCTGCGGAAAGCAGAGAATGTCACAGCTGAATTTTCTGCTTTGTGACTTTTGGATAAGAAGACATGACAGCACCAATGGGAGGAGTGAGAACGGGCAAAATGACACAGTGTTCAATTCCCTCTTTTACACTAATGCCACTGAAGCACGTGCGTTCCTGTGGACCATTCCCACAGTGTGGCTGGGCACAGCTCTGCCCTGCTGAACAGTGCAGCTACAGAGTGCCGGGGCTGCAGAAATGCAGCCTGACCTGTGGGAGGAAATGCACATTGTGCACCAACGCTGCAGAACGCTTTGCTCACTTTGCATAACAGACAACCAGGGGTTCATTCATGTTCCCCAGTGTTCCCCAGTGCATGTCCTCAAACAATCAGTGCTCCACTTCCCTTTCTGCACGCCTGTGCTGTGCGTTTCATTTTCAGAGGCTGAAAGAGATTTTGCTCTAAAACTCCTTATGAGCAAACATTTCCTCCTGGGATCGTCATCTGATTCAAACTAAAAAGTGGACCAGAATTTATGATGTCTTGTAATTACTACTCCCGGTACCACTCATTAAATTAGAAATTGATTGCTGGTTTTGCAGTTTCCTTGTTAGGTGACAAAGTGCTCATCAAGGTGGAGCAGTGCAGGACCATTAGGATATATTGTGCAGTGTGGGCTGATACAAAGGCATGCTTTCTGTTGTGGGGTTCATGGTACAGTTGTTTTTATAATGCACAGCTGATTGTCTTTTTTGTTTAAAGTTCTCTGTCACCCATTAAAGTATGAGTACACCATATTTTTGTATAAGAAGAGAGAAATTGGCTTTGGTTTATGCTGGCAATCTAAAAGGCATTACTGCAGACATCAAAAGTGTATGTTTCATTGAACTGAGAACATCATAAACAGCTATCCTAAAGATTTAAGCAGATGATGCAAAAAATCTCTCTACATAAAGGTTTTTCACATTATCTTTTTCTCTCTCTAACCCACAGTGTGACAGCGAGAGTGATGTTGACGATAAGGTAAGACTGAATTTTCTTCTTTCATGTGCTTTACTAGCTTGGAAATTCCCTCACAGTCAAAATAAGAATGAATTTACAAGCAATATTTTTCCTCCAGGCTTCATGTCAGATTTAAAATTGTTTATAATAGAAGGAAGCAAACACTGGATCAGTCACTTCATGGTTTTCCCTAGTTTACAGAAGAGAAACTCTTGCTAACGGAATAGTGTCTCAATTAGCGTGTGAGCATTCGGTGAGACCCAAATCACAGTGCTGGTGCTGTTTCAGAGGAAGTCTCCTCTGATAACCTGCCAGGAGCCCATATTTTATTTACAGCACCCTTTGCAGACGTCAGTTTTGTAATCAGCCCAGAAGGTGGGACGGTGGCACCCACCTCCAGGGCAGCGCGCTGTCTGCCAAGGAGCGCTGTGTCGTGTTGCATGCGTATTTATCACAGAGCAATGATTTTCCTGACCTTTTCTTTTGATACAGAGGCTGGTCATTGAAAGGTGGCAGTGGTGTGGTTTTCTGTAGGGATTTCTTTTTTCACCTTTGCAAGGAAAACCGAGAAGTCTGGCAACATAGCCACAGTTGCACCGTGCTCTTAAGCATCAAACGTATGAAAGACTTTGGTATTCCTTGCTGACTTCTGTTCTGGCAGATCAAACCTGGCATCTCAGGTTAGATCTTCATCAAACTTTCATTATATTTTGGCTGTCCAGTCTCTTGCATTCTGAGAAGCTGTGGCACGTAGGCTTCTACTGGATCAGCATTACAGAAGTAAAGGCTGACTTCAGACAGCCCTGTCACCTTGGCAGCACACTTGGCTGCAGCCATACATTGGAGGTTATCATGAATTCAAGAGACTGTGCTAAAAGCAGCTTCTGGTTAAGTCTTTTTATTTTTTTTTCAATATTTGAAAGCTTTATAGTTTCTTGAGCTTCTTTGAGAAATCCCACCAGATACCCAAAATATCCCTGGAATATGGCAAAATTTGTGTCTTGAGAAGAAACCTTGATGGAAAGGAAACATTTATGCCATTTATGTTTAATGAAAGACGCCGTGCTTATTTTGTGTCTGTAATGTGTAAAGTCACTGCCAGAAACCAACTCTCAAGTTCTGGTTCTCCCAAAGTTGTGCAGCAGATCTGACAGCTGGGATGGGGAGGGTGAGAAATTATTCCCTAAAAGCTCAGGTACCGTGGGGTTAAACCATTTCTTAGACTGCCCAATCAAAGAAAGTAAAAGCAATCACTTAGAAAACTGTTTAAAGATCTGCCAGTCAAACCTCAGATGAAGTTGTAAGTGACATGTAGTTTTATTATACAGCTATGCTATTAATGATTATCTAAATTACACTGGTAGACCCAGCTAGCAGCATTACATCTGAGACTGACATTTGTTAGATTAGGTTTGACTTCACCTTGTAGAGAAGAAATTGAAATCTGAACAACATTGATTAGCTTTCAGAATGTGGGATCTGAGGTTACCTTCAGAGGAAGCTGCAGTGCGTTTGGCCGGTCGCTCACTGTCCTTTACAGCAAATGAAAGGCTATTACAGCATTTCTAACCATTAATGTGGCATTTCTTTACATATCTATAGAAGTAATTTGACCTCTTGGGCTCCCGTATTTCCCAACTACCTTCTCCTTAAGGTGACTCCAACTTTTTAGTAACGTTTCTTTTCTTCATAAGGAGAGCAGAGCGAGTTCATCTTTCTATCCCTTGCCTGACCTGCGGAGACGTGAGACATGACACTCGTTCTATTAAACAGGTCTCTGGAAGTAAGTAGGGTTCCTTTGCTTGTCAGCAAAGATGTGTGCACGTGTGTGTAAGCTCACCAAGACTGAAGTGAAGAGACTTCATGGGGATGATGTAAATGCTACATTGCCTTGCAGCTGGGGAGCACAACCTGGCTGTCGGCATTAGTCCTTCTCGTACTGTACTCTCCTGGAAAGCCATTCGGTGTTTGTCTAAAACTTAACCTGGCTAGATACAACAGGGAGCTATAAACATGTTGGCGTGACTGTCCTGAGGGACTGCACTGAGGAGAGTTTTTTCCCCTTTCCATTTGGTGGCAAAAATGATACTGCTGTGTGTCTCCTGCAGGCAGATGAAGTGTTGGATGCACTCTCACCAGCATCAGGCTTCCCAAATTACATGAGGGGTCAGCTTCATTCTGCAGTGCTGCAGAACAATCATGCTTTGCTGCTCGGTCAGCAAGAAGCAGCTTCCTCTAGGTAAACCTACGCACTGGCGCTAATGAAGGGCAGGGCAGGAATTACTAATGTGCTTTGATTTGCATAACACTTTTTGTTAGTCATCGGGAGCAGATCACTGTCATCTGTGTGTACCTCGTGAGGGAAGATGACAGAATGCTCACGTCCCAGTGCAGGCTGAGTCAGTGATAGAGCTAGAAGTAAAACTGAAATTTTCCACCTCCTACACCTCTCCCTCTCTACCATGCCATTAATTATTCACTATTTATTTCATAGCTCTATGGGCTGTTGAGCTCCTTAAGTTTCTGAACGCAGACGTTATAGCGTAATTAAGGCTTTGCCATCACTACATCGAAAAATATAAGCACACTTGTGGTGGTTTTTTTGCTTTTGGCAGTGTCGTGAAGGAGTCCAGGGGAGAAAAGTAATTGAGCGTAGTCAGTCATATGTACAGTATATGGGAATGGAGGAGTCATTACTTTAGTGCAAGGTGCAGTTCTGCAGCAGATTGTGAGCTGCTGCTTTTCATAATGGGAGGACGGGACCTCGACACTGGGGACGTGTCCATCCCATCTCCTCTCTGAGAACTGTCTCACCAAGTATTGCCTTTCACTTCTGCATCACCGCTGAAGTCTCGAAGGAAGTAAGTGGGATGATGCTTTCTCACTCCTATCATTCTGTCACCACACTCTTCTCCAAGAACTGTTTGAAATACCCAAACCAATAAGCCGAGCTGTCCAGCCATTTAACCAAGCGAGAAACTTCTCAAATCATGCGTTCCCAGAGATGGAAATGCAAATCCTGTTTTTCAGACTGTATGTTCGTTGAAGGACAGAGTTTTGGACTTTGCAGTTGTTAAGAGAATTGCAGGGTAGTTTGTCAAAGCTGTGGAAATGATATTGTGCTTTTTGTGAGGGAGGAGAGAGAGAAAGGGAGTAAGTCTGATAATCGTATTGCGCTCTCTGCACTGTGCAATAGCTGCGATGTGAGGCTCACGGTCCATAAACATTGTTACTGAAAATATATACTTCCTTTAATAGCAACAACAGCATTAACAGACAGCAATTACCCTTCATTTTCAGGAACTATAAAGTCTCCATTAATTCAAGATTTATGTAGTTATAGCATTTAGCACAGGAATAACACCACAGAGAATTGGTTTATACACATGTAATGAGAGAGCTTATGGCATACTTTAGTGAACATTAACATAATAGAGTAATATAAACCATCAACAGTTCCACTTATTGTCTCTTACCTGCTCTAGCATCACTATGAAAAGTGGCTAGCAGCTTGGTAATGGGCTCTGTTAAGTGGTGTTCTGCAGAAAGCCAAAAGTCAACTTGTGTAAAACAAGGGAATGAATAATCTCTGCTCGTTACTCCAAAATGCAGTTCCCATTTTTTAATAACAGTGTTCAAGGCAGCATTAAAAAAAGCTGGTGTGTTTCAGAGCAATTCAGTGCTCATGTCCTTTCAGCCTTGGACTTGTGTCTGCTGGATGGGAAATTGCTGCTTGTCACACGAAGTCAGGTCAGGTTTCTAAAACGGTGCTTTCATGCAACTTCTTGCAGCAGCACAGTAAATGCATCAGACCCAGCTCCGGGTGATGTGAATTCAGCCCTGCCACACTGTTGTGTGCTGGCCAGTGAGAGATGAAAGCTGGCTTCAGTACTGAGTGTCAGTGCTGGGAAACAGGTGAGCTGTGAAGGGGTCAAAATATGAAAACTAAAAGCTTGCAAATTGGGAAGTGGGAAGTTGTGTAGGGAGCAAAGCATCAGAGTAGGAAAAGGATCTCTGCAGCGATTTTATCCATAGGCACAAGGACACCGTTACTTCTGCCAATACCAGAAGAAAGGATGCAATGATAAAAGGAAGGTGGGATGGTGAGAGCTTGAACGAGAGCTTAGTTGTAAAGAAAAAGGATGCACAGGACTTAAGCATTGGTTGGATGTTAAGATTTAGAGAGCAATGTGAGCCAGAGAGAATACTGAGAACTACAGGCTTGAGTGAGGGGTGGAAGTGATAAGGGTGGAAGCAATGAGGAGAATAAACTCTGTGGGATGAAATCATCAGTTCTGGGTTGACCTTGAAAGAGCATCTGCAAGCCCACAGGAAGGAGGCATAGTTCAGACAGCACAAGAAGTGGATGTGATCAAGACGCAAGATCTAGTAGTTGCTCTAACAGAAGTGGTTACAGTCTCTGTGTATGTGTGTGAAGTTACCCAGAAATAAGATGAAAGCCCTGTAACACCATGTTACGGATGTTCTTAATGCACATAATGGCAGCAGTGGTAAGAGAGGTAGGGCAGAGAGGGAGGATGTGCTGAAGCCCAGGGAGGGAAGAGCAGTGGTAGGTAGGTGGTGGCCAAAGGAGAGCAAATAGGAGGGTTCCCACTGAGCCCCAGAGGTTAGGGGGCTCTTTACATTGTCCTCCCAACAAGAGTGCCTGCAGCTCTAGGAAAAAGCCTTAGGAATAATGGCCCTCCTTGATCTTGGTATTCCTAGAATTTAAGTAAAGCAAGAATGCAATTGAAAAAATTAACCAATGTTCTCCCCTCCTACTGAGATTTTATGTCTTTGCTTTATCCAGACAAAAAAGGCAGATTTTAAGAACATTAGTCTGTATATGGCAAGCTGAGTCATTTCAGTCTGTGGTGTCCATCCTCATTCTTGAAAATGTAGAATTTTCTTTTTTAGAGCAAACAATGGGAAGGGCCTTGCAGTTTGCTAACAAAAGTCCATCATTGGCTCACATAAAAAGACACAGATCTTATGGAGAGCTCTTGGGCAAGACAGGATAA